GTGAGGTTGATGAGAGGAATATTTTGTGAGGAGATATCAATATATACTTTGAAGTTTGAACCATGCATATAGCGTAGGCTGTGTTTGGTTCATAGGAATTATTGGTGTTTATTATTATTATTATTATTATTATTATTATTATTATTATTATTATTATTATTATTATTATTATTAAAGTAAAATGGGAATTCTATCTAGGTGTAGGAAATGAAATTGAAGCAAGAGTTAAATAAGAGCCCTTTACAAGATTGAGGGGGGGGGGGGATGAGGGTCTTTTTTAGTACAAGGCGGATACCTATAAATCCATCTACTAACAAAGAAGTGCCCATTCATGTGAGAAAGAGTATAAAAACCATTTTATTACAGTTTTAATGCCAATTTTGATGGCTACTAAAATGCCCATAATTGTGTATTTAGTCCATCTTTAATGGTAATGTTGAAAATGTAATTTCAATTATTACTTCCCACCTCATTTAATCCACTCTCATTAAGTCTTATATTTAAATTATTAACTCCCATTTTCTCTTATTAAATTAGATTTGCCTCAATATTTTTAACAGTATAGACCCATATATATTTTAGAATTGACTAAAAAAACAAAACAATTTTTAATCCAAGTAGTGACTAAGCAATTTAACCATCCGAATCAAATTCATCAACTTACAAAGTCATATTTAGGTAATAAAAATTTTAAAATAGAAATAAATATAGAAACTTACAAAAATATAGAAAAAATTAGACACATCTATGATATTTTTATTAATCAAATTAAAAAATAAGTGTAATAAACAAGAATTAGTTTTTATTGGTAATGAAATTGAAATACATAATTTAGAACTAACCAAAAATGAAATTACTTTACTATTTGGCAAAGATCAATAGTTCAAATTTTGGGTCAAACATGTTAACCTTTAATGTCATAAATAAATAATAAAAGTTAATAAAATATAAAAATATAAAAATGAAAAAAAACAATACATAAATTTTTCAAAAAAAAAACATTTAGGCACATGTATAATATCATATATTTAAAAAAAGTAAGTGTGACATATTAAAATTATTTTTACACACAAAATTACAAAAAAAAAGTTATAAAAAAATTAAACACATCTATAATTCTATATTTATACTACTATTAAAAATATGAATAAGATTGTATAACTTTCTTTTAACTAAAATACTCATTTTTAAATTTATTCGCTATTTAATTATGGGGTTGAAATTGTAAATTGAACTACTACTTTTCACCCCCATTCAATTCCCTCTATTTAAAACCTTACATTTTCTTATAAATAAACAAAAAATATTAAATATTACAAAGAGATGAATCTAGCCAAGAAAGTATGCCTATCAATGATATTTGAAATTTCACAACTTAATCTGATTATCACATATTTGGATGAGATATTTATGTAATCAGATTTGGATTTTCAACCCACATCTAATTAATAATCAAAAACAAAAAAATAAAAAATTTATAAAAAATTGGATACAATATTATTATCATTATCATTATCTAGAATTACCATATACACACTTACTAGTATATACATGATCTTCTGATTTTGTTGGGCACGGGTTTCTCTCACAAGTGTCCAGAAAGGATCTTCAAAGGCTGAAATCTTATAAATGAGAACCCAAGATGGAAGCTTATGTGTTCTGACTTGTTATATCACCTCTTACCTACTTTGACAGGCTTTAAACCAAGGAGTCTACTCCATGTGAGATGAGAGAGACGAGAAAACCCTTTTTCTTGCTCTTTTCATTGAGTCACAACATGAAAAGGGCATAATCTTTACGAAAAGCGATTCTTGCCAATGTGGATACATTGTATTCTAGTTGTATATGAGAAAAAGCAATACTTCATGACAAAGGACTCCTTGTTGAATCAAAAGTCTCTTTCATTTCGAAAAAGAAAATATCAGTAATTGTTCAAGGCAAAATGATTAAGCTCTTAATTATAAGAGTTTTTTTGGGGATTAACCATTCCAATTTTCAAAATAATCAGTAGATCATCATTTTTGTCATGCTTTTAAAACTTCAACAAATCGAATTGGGTAGTTACAATCAGTCCATTTACAGTTTTTTTATTTATTAATTTTTTTCTTCGTTTTCTTTTAGAACCCATTCACACCTCAGAGTCTCCACCTCTAAGGTAGTAAAGTTTAAACAAATATGGAACGTTTTTTTAATGCAAACTAGAAATTATATTTTTACTAATAAAATTTGTATTGAAAATTATGGGAAAAATCAGAGAGAATTACAACAAACAACCCATCTATATGAATTATGTACACAAAGAGAAAAAAGGTGAAAGACTATTGCAGTTTTCATTCACATAATCTTGTAAAAAACTGAGGTGGACGAACAACAAATAATCGAGTTGGTGAACTGGATGAGTTGAACTACAGGCGACCTACGAATACAAATAGTCAGAGAACTTAAGGCTGCGTTTGGAAAAAATGCAAATGGAGTGTAAATCCTATTTTATTATATTTTGGTTCACTTTTGCCTATATTTAATGATATTGACAAATGATAGATCAATACAAATAAACCCATTTACAATATTAACCTAATTTTACAATTTATATAAACCATTTTATTCTTTATAAATTTGCATTATTTAATTTACATCTTTTTCAAATGCATCCTAAGGTGAACTTTTAGGGAGAAGCACTCCGACGGCTAGGTCAAGCGGTGCTAAACAAGCTGGAGAATTAAAAGAGCAAGTGTGCTGGGGGGTGCTTAATTAGGGAATTAAGGTCGCAAAAGTGCTGTACGTACTCCTTTCTCATGGGACACGTGTTAGCTTCTGGAGAAATCATTGTCCAAGCTGTTGTAAGACTAAGACATGGGTGATATGGCCTTTGTGAAGAGCCATTGGATCGACCTTGACAGTTGGCCGCCGGGGTTCAACCAACATTTGCCATGTGTCCCACCACATCCGCGACGTGTCATGTTTCGTTTCTCAGCATTGGCTTATCAGCCTGGGCCCTCACCAACTCACCATGACCATGTGTGAGCACCTGTCCATGTGGCAGTTTATACCAAACCCGGTTTATAGCCACATCAAAATAAGTAGAATGATCAATGACCCATGGATTGGAGGGTTTCTAATTAATACATTTCAGGAAGAATCGTATCAAAAGAAAACTGAAACATATGTATCCTAAACCTAATATTTCCATGTTTTTCTTTTGATTTCGCTTGGCCTTTGAGATATTTGCCTTGTTTTTGAAGATGATGACGATCCATTTTGTCATTAAATAACTTTAAGCATTTGAGATAAACCAGAAAATTTGATGTTTTCTAATGAAAATCACACCCATCCTCTCTTATAGTCTTATTGCCTCTAGCAACTGACTCCTATATTGAGGCCTATTAATGCTCCCAATGTATGACTGCTTTGCTTAGGGTTGAATGTGTAGCACTCTCTAACGACTCAAAATATCATATATAAAGAGTTTGAGATGTGGAGGGGGCCGGGTGTGACAGACCTAACATTGCTAGAATACCTCACAAAACTTTCAATTCCCAAGAATTTCAGTGTAGCCATCTTACGGTAACCATTAATTATACCAAGCATAATTATATTAATAATGCCTTAAAAAAGATCTTATTCATTAATTAGAAAATAAAGATTTCATTCGTTAATTAGAATTGTGGCTTTAAATGAGTACATAGAAATCTCATTTCCAATGGCAAGTAGAAGTCCCATTTTCAACATTTGAGCCATCTAATTTGCTAAATGTCAAAATGGCTGAACTGAATATTTATTGTTTTTGCCTTTCCATGGATAAAATAATTAAATAATAACTAAATACTTCAAGGCTATAATAACGAACTCAAATTCAGTTTCAGCCAACTGCCAAAAGAAGAAAAATTCAGCTTAAGCCTTTAACGAGTTTACATTTTACAACCTCCTTAATAACTTGTTTAAAGACATATTAATAAGTTGTTCAGTCCAATCACATCAGCTGCTTTCAAACAAAAAAAAAAGGCCACTTAATAACTGAATAACTTATTGCTTTGTCTTTTAATAGACAAAATATCTTTGGATTCAGTAATCAAACAACTAGAATCCCCCAATTTCATTAAAAGCTTATTAACTGAAAGACCAAGTAATAAACTTAAAACATCTGCAGAGCATCATGGAACTTTTCTATACAATCCAATTAAATCCACCAAACTTAGATGGTTAATTGGTTATAATATACTGATTCTTTACCTAGAGGATGTAGGTGGGGCCCACTCAAAGGTGGGTTCTAATGCTCCAAACATGAGACAACTGGCAACTGAGTCTGGGGACCCACCACGTGTCCTGTGAATCCAGACCTCAGCTTTACCCTGTGCATTCTCGACTGTCTGTCCTTCATGAACCCCATTCCCAACTTTAAGTAACATGTGTACCGACGTTCAACACACTAACAGTTCTTTAAGTTCATCCCTATCGTAAGGACACAGTGGGGGATGGCGAGGAGAAACTCATACCCATTTTAAATCGGCGAGGAATATGCTCTTATTGTTATTATATTATTGAAGGGGAGAATAAGAAAAATCAATAGATCTCCCTTCAAAACAAAAGAAACGTAGACATTAGCACTTTCTATCATCAGCTTATTATAATTATTTAATAGTACAATTAGTAGGACCTAAACCCCATAACAATTAATTAATCATGCTTTTCTGCAGACAGTAATGCCCTTCTTAGATGTTAATGGAAGTTAATTAAAGAATTTGAAAGGTAATTTGGTCATTTGATGGGTTCATATAAGAAATTTTCCAACTTAATTTTTTTTATTTGATGGGTATATTATTTTTTTCATTGACATGCTCGACTATGTCTGTAAATTAATTTGGCATGTTAGGAGGAACTAACCCAGTAACCCATTATACCAAAAAAAAAAAAAAACTAGTAACCCCTTTATTTTTAAATTGTCAAAAAAAACCCTTTGTTTTTAAATTGTGTTTCTTTTTGGGTGAGCAGAGTTTTGTTTTTAGATTTTACATTGTTCAACCAGAAGAAAGCAGAATTTCACCCCCCCAAAAAAAAGAAGAAATCAGAAGGAATATTCTTTTGTATTAATTGATTTTAGTTTGTATTAATTAAAGAAAGAAAAAAGAAATGGTTTTTCCATGTTTAATGTTGTTTCCTTCTTTTTGACTGTTATATATTGTTCTAACAGTTCAGAATGAGCTGGTTTAAGCTATCAAAGCTCTATTTAGAGGAAATAGCTGAAATGGGGAAGAGAGGCTTCGCCTTTGGAGCTCAGGTTTGGTGAAGATCGAGGCCATTTGGGATCTGCATTCTCTGTAACTATTCCTCTAAACCCATTTCTTATTTTTTACTGTTTCAATTTTTTAGTCACTCTTCTAGTTTGGCTCGTCTTCTTCGTCTTTCTGCAACTTAAATTCTATTCAACATCCAAACCCTAAAATGGGTTGTCGTTGAAAGGTTCAATTTTATCTATCATTCACCTGGTTTGGTTGTTCTTGCTCGTGGGTTTTTGTTTATGCTCTGTATCTTTTCTTTTTTGGCAATAATCATTTCTTTATTAGAATCTATCCTATCCAATCCACCCATGGTAATATTTGGAAAGTTAAAAGGAGGGAAGTGTTTGGTTTGGATTTATTGAATAAAACCCACACGGTTTCGAGCTTTACAACAGCAGCTACCTTTCCCCATGATGGTGGTTTCCCAGTGGTAGCTTGTAGAGACTTCAGCGTAGAAAATAGCCTTCAACTCTTCTTTGGCTTTTAGTTGCTGCATTAGGAGTGGAATGCGGAGAGTTGAAGTGGTTATCTGAGTTTTGGAGGTGGGGATCTGGTTTTATGTAGTTCAACTTGAATGAGTTCTGTTGGTTTCTTGTTCTTAAGATCTGGTCCATCTGGGTTGTGAAGATTTCTTAAGGTCATACAGTTCTGTTCCGTGGGTGTGGAAGTAGTTTTGTCTTCTGTGAATCTAATCCTTCACAGGGGAAATGGCTCCAACCTTGGATTTTTCTGCTTGGTGGGTGAAGGAGACTCGGAAGGGAACTCCAGTTGTTGTAACCATGGAGAATCCCAACTATTCTGTTCTGGAGATTGATGGTCCAGATGCTGCATTCCGGCCGGTTGACAAGGACCGTGGGAAGAACGCGAAGCAATTTACATGGGTTTTGCTTCTCAAAGCCCATCGAGCAGCCGGCTGTGTTGCGTGGCTCGCAAATGTCCTGTGGGCTTTGCTGGGGACTATTAAGAAAAGGTTGATCTTCGGGCAGGGAGTTGCCATAGAAAGTGAGAAGTTGGATAAGGGAAGGATGCTGTTCAGATTCATTCGAGGCTTCTTAGCACTCTCCTTGGCAGTTCTGGCTTTTGAGGTAATTGCGCACTTCAATGGTTGGCATTATCTCCGGAACTCCAATTTGCACATCCCGCAGACTTCTGAGATCCAGGGTTGGCTCCACATAGTTTACGTTTCCTGGTTAGAATTCCGAGCAGAGTACATTGCTCCTCCAATTCAAGCCCTCTCAAGCTTCTGTGTTATTCTCTTCATAATCCAGTCTTTAGACCGGATGGTACTGTGTCTTGGGTGCTTCTGGATCAAATACAAGAAAATTAAGCCAAGGATTGAAGGGGATCYATTCAAGTCAGAGGATATGGAGGGATCCAGCTATGACTACCCTATGGTTCTTGTTCAGATTCCAATGTGTAATGAGAGAGAGGTAAGAAATTAGCCCCCCTTTGCTTTCAGGTTAATAGTTCTAGTTCTCACTTCTCAATTTATTCTCAAATCTGTTAGTGAAGTTCAATTCAATGTCCAAATTGAGGTCTCCAATCTACATAATAAGCAATTACAACAGTAGAAATTAACAGAAACTTATAGGGACATCTGAAACAGTTAGCTTCCCTAGTGCTGATAACTTTTGGCATTGACCTGCTTCAGGTATATGAGCAGTCTATCACTGCTGTCTGCCAACTTGATTGGCCAAAAGAACGTTTACTGATTCAAGTTCTTGACGATTCTGATGATGAGAACATCCGGTGGCTAATCAAAGGGGAAGTCTCCAAGTGGAGCCAACGTGGTATTAACATTATTTATCGGCATCGCTTGGTTAGAACAGGTTACAAAGCTGGGAACCTCAAGTCAGCAATGAGCTGTGATTATGTGAAGGGGTACGAGTTTGTTGCAATATTTGATGCAGATTTTCAACCAAACCCAGATTTCCTTAAGCAGACAGTTCCTCATTTTAAGGTGGATAAGCACTCACATAACTTATTTTGGCAGGTTTTCTATTACACTTTCACAGTTTGTAACTCACTGTATCTCTTTTACCTTGTTTTGTAGGATAATCCTGAACTTGGGCTGGTTCAGGCTCGGTGGGCATTTGTTAACAAGGATGAGAACTTGTTGACCCGCCTTCAAAATATTAATCTGTGCTTTCACTTTGAGGTGGAGCAGCAGGTCAATGGAGTATTCTTAAACTTCTTTGGTTTTAATGGGACAGCTGGAGTTTGGAGAATCAAAACCCTGGAGGAGTCTGGAGGTTGGCTTGAAAGGACGACTGTAGAGGACATGGACATAGCTGTCCGTGCCCATCTCAATGGTTGGAAGTTTATTTTCCTCAATGATGTGAAGGTAATGCTAATTTTAGTCATTCAATTCAATCTGGAATTATATCTTCATTGCTTTTTGGTAATCTTACTCATTTATAACTGTTTTTTTTTTTCAGGTCCTTTGTGAAGTTCCTGAGTCCTTCGAAGCTTACAGGAAGCAGCAACACAGATGGCACTCAGGTCCAATGCATCTTTTCCGATTGTGTCTTCCAGCTATCATAACTTCAAAGGTATCTTGGTTCTCAACATCTTATGGATCTTTTCATGTAGATTTCTGTTAGAATTTCATATATAGAAAACATGTTGGTTAGAATTCTGAGGGGTTCTTGTTGTTGTTATATGCAGATATCAGCCTTGAAGAAAGCAAACTTGATATTTCTCTTCTTTCTATTGAGGAAGCTGATCCTCCCATTCTATTCTTTCACATTGTTTTGCATAATTCTTCCCCTAACTATGTTCGTACCTGAGGCTGAGCTACCTGTTTGGGTCATCTGCTACATTCCTGCCTTCATGTCATTCCTCAACATTCTCCCAGCTCCAAAATCATTCCCCTTTATTATTCCTTACCTCCTCTTTGAGAATACCATGTCTGTGACCAAGTTCAATGCCATGATATCTGGATTGTTCAAATTGGGAAGCTCATATGAGTGGGTTGTCACCAAGAAGGCAGGTAGGGCATCTGAGTCTGATCTACTGGCTGCAGCAGAGCGGGAATCAAAGTCCATTAGCCTCCCACAGCTCCACAGAGGAGCTTCAGAAAGTGAGTTGTCTGAGCTGAATAGATTGAAAGAACAACAAGAAGCACCTCCTCCACTTCCCCGGAAGAAGATAAATAAGATTTATAGAAAAGAGCTTGCTCTAGCTTTCCTCTTGCTTACGGCTTCCATCCGTAGCCTGTTATCAGCACAAGGGATCCACTTCTACTTCCTACTCTTTCAAGGGATTACATTTCTCCTTGTTGGTCTTGATCTAATTGGGGAACAAATGAGCTAATGAAAGACAAGGGCCAAAGAAGAAGGAAAAAAGAAAAGAATAGCCGATAAAGAGAAGAAAAAGAAAGAGATCCCTCAATCTGTTGCAGCCGGTCACATCTGCATTATGGCAGGAAATCATCCATGATGGCAGTTCAGGGAGGAAGCTATAGATCCTCTTCCTTTGCAAATGGCAGATGAGGCTAAGGAAGATCCTCCATTTCGAATAATAAGCTACTTTTCCTTGTTTATTAGTGTCTCACTGGCTATTTTAGCCTTCACTCTCTCTATCTCTCTCTCTCTTCCTCAGGGGTCCTTTGTCACATATATAAGACATTCATCTTCATCTTCTTTTTCTTTCTCCCTTTCGTTCATTCTTTCTTTCTTTCTTCTTCTTTTTGAAATTGATGTTGTTATAGGTAGGAGCAGCCTCTTTTTTCTATTCTTGTTTGGGTGTGGTTTGGTATTTCAGATTCAGCTCATCTTGTATTTGAAGAATCCAAAAGGTCAAGTGAGGAGAATTATTTGGTCAATTCAAAACATTATACTGAGAGATGTATAACAAGTATCTGTATATTGCATTAATTGAGTTTATTAAAGTAATAGAACCAAAAGAAAAAAGAATGGTTCATGGGTCGTACTGTTACTTTCTCTTCCTCTCTTTCTCTGTTTCTTCCTTCCTTTTTGTTCCTTTCTGTTTCTTAATGCCATGCCTGCTTGCTTTGGTAAATAAAGTGTCGGCAGGCAGTGAAGAATTAATGTGGAAACGCAGGCTCTCAGAGGTTTACCCACCACCTCTTCAATCATGGTTTCATGATAGAATGGCAGAACAGAAATAAATAGCTCTGCCCTGACTCCACTGTGGTTCCCCTCCTTTTGCTTCTTTTTCCACTTTTGGATTGCTTACAGAATTGCTTGTGTCAGCCGTCTGCTGACTTTCAAGTAAAATTCATAGTTCTTAATTCATGTACCCTTAAATTTACCATGCTATCCCCGAGTTTATCAGACCTCACATGACAGATACTCCTCGAGAATTAGGTTAGATCAATATAACAAGTTAACTTTAGTTCCTTCCCATGAGTGCTCTTATGACAGAAAAACTATCAGAATCATCCAAGGGTGGAATTGAACAGGCGGGAGGCGGCCATTCCGCCCATGTGCCAGTAGCCTCCAAAACTGATATATGTTGGTCTGTATATACTTAAAACCTAGTATTAAAACCCTAGTTAGCCGGTTATTGAACTGGTGATAGGGATGCCACTATGTTGAGAGACTGTCTTTCTATGGGTTTGAACTCAAATAAAGGGGCACAGAGGGTGACCAACTGAACTACTGATTATGGACTTTAATGAGTTTGTTACTTCGTCTCCATTTGGAAGGAGTACAAATACAAATACGTAGAGCGCAAAATTTTATGTTTTATACAATTTTGTATGTATTTATACTGTACATATTTGTAATTGTACTCTTTCCAAACAGAGCCTTCACATTAACACTTTGGGCTGTGTTTGGTAAGAATGCAAAATGCGAATTCCGATCTGCTTCCCCATTACATGTAGGGAGTGCTCTGTGGGGAGCAGATTCAAATACGCAAAAATCATATGTATTGACATAAATTCAAATTTGATTGAAAAGTAAGAATGTAAGCTCGGTTCGGTTCAGTTTCACATTGGTAAATTTGTATTTTATTTGGTTATGATGGATACAAAGATGAATTTCAAGATTGGAATCTGCCATTTTTGCTTTGACTAATTTTGAGTGCATTGTTCCCGTTTTAAATTTAAAAAAAAAAATGTCATAGAAAACCAAACCAGAGTACACTTTCACCATGATTTTGATCCTAATGCAAAATTTGCATTCTTTTTGTCAAATTTGCAATCCATCCCTCTCGTCCCCAGTTTTGCATTGTCAATTTGCAATCAAGTCTTAATCTAAAACCGCTCCCCTCAACCCCCACTCCTACCTTCCCTGTATAAGATGGACCTCTCCTTAGGGTTGTGTTTGGTACCATTGTTGTTTCTATCTGAAACATTTTAGTTTGATCAATGCGAATTAGTAAACAACTTAAAGAATGCATATGCAGGAGGCTGCTTTTAGAAATGCCAAATTGATGTTTCTTGTTCCACGGAGTGAAATTTTAACGGTTCTATCTGAAGTGACTGTTATATATGATGTTGCAACACATCTATCACCCATTTATATTGATCAACAACAATAGTACCAAATACAACCAAAGTGGGTGTTTATTTATACAAAGATGTTAATGCAATGGTGATCTTTAGAAATTTTGCAGGGTGAAAGCAAACCACGTTTCTGAATTGTGTACACCGACTACAATAATTTTTTGAAAAAAAAGAGTTAAGAAGTGTTGAATGTACAGTCAGCACATGAGCATGATGTTTTTTATTTTAATTGTTTTTGAAATTGTCACATTAGCCAATCCCATATAGTTGGGATGAGATGATGATGTTTTTGTAATTGCCCCATCAGCAAAAAAAAAAAAAAAACAAATTAAAAATATTTCTTGAAGCATGTATTTGTTTTGAGAAAATAAAACAAGTTGGTTTGTTTGGAAAAATAATTCATGTTTTCAAAGCCATTAAAGAAAACCAAATTTTGGAGTATAGAATTTTTGTGGTGTGTAAAAGTTGATGAGAGATCATTAGATAAAAAAGTTTTTTTGAAACCAGAAATTCAAGAATACATGTTTTTGTTTCAGTTTTGAAAAAAAAACATATAAAACCAAAAACATGTTTTCTTTATTTTTGTTTTAAGAATTAAACTGTTTTCAAACCAGATGATTTTGACTTCGTTCTTGAAATTCACAAGAAGAAAAACAATACACATCGGAGAACTCCCCTGGTGATGTGATGTTGTCCTATGAGCTTCAGCTAGTTTGTTGGTTATGATCAGAAACGGTATTCGAAAATCTAAATTCGAATATGAGATTTGGTTTAATGGAATCGAATTTGAATAATTTGAATTGAATATTATTTTTTTATCGAATAAATTATTAGATCGAATCTGGATATATGTTGATTCGATCCGATAAATATTCAAACCGATTATATATATATAATATAATATAATATAAAAGTTAAAAAAAGGAAATGAAAAATAACATTAGTTCGAAAATCTCAAAAGTCAATTGAATATTACACTCGAACTCATTCAGTTTTACCTCTCAAAACCCTAAAGGAAAACCCTAACCCTCCGTTCGTCACTCCCTTCATCGTCGTCGGTTGCCACCCGAGCAACCACCATTGGTCCATCACCGGTCAACGCCCCTCATCGTCCGACCAACCACCAGCCTTTCGTCGGAGTTTGGACGCCATCGTCGCTCATCTCGTCTTTCCTCTTAGGCTCTTACCTCTATCTCTCTTCTCTCAGTCTGTGGCTCGTTGCCCAAGCAACCACCATCACCGACAGCAGTGTTAGTGATAACAGTCAAGCACTAGTCACCGGCCATAGCTCAAGCTCAAAGCTAAAGATCAATGCCACCTCTTTCGCCCAATCGTTTGTTCACCGCTGCTCAAGCTCAAGCAACCCTCAGGCCTCAACTTTCCAGCATCACCGGTTTGTGCTGTAACCCACAACTGCTACTGGGAACTCATCGCATTCGCACCGCCAGGAACCCACGCTTGCCACCATCTCCTATCTCTTTTCTCAATGTGATTACAGCCTTACAATTACAGATTGGTTCCTATGCTAAATTTTTCAAATTTTCAGCTCTTTTTCTAATGAGATAGTGATTTAGATTTTTTAGCTCTTTTCCTATGCTAAAATTTTCAGATCACAAATTTATGATAATGTTGTCAAGTTCTACCTTCTCCATGCATCCAGAGAACTATTGACAGTGTTGAACATTGTTCCAGAATTCATACCATGAAGAAAAGTAATGTGTGCCAGCAGGTACCCTTCTGCACCCTTTGAAGTTCTATTGCATCCACCGCTCTCCCTCCTTTCTTTGCAGGTTCACACATATACTCACTGGTTTTTATGTTTCTGTGTTCTTTTTTTTTTTTTTCTTTTCTTGTGAATGAAGGAGAAGAAGTTTTCATAAAGGATGGGATTTTCGCTTCCGCCAATCGAATCGAATATTCGATTTAATAATCGAAATCGAATTCAAATTGATGTATTCGATATTCGTCGAATTAAATTCAAATATCAGTATCTATAATTGATTTCGAATTTGAATATAACCTGATTCAATTCGAATTCGATCCATTTACGAGCCTATTTCTAATAATGGTTTAGTTTGAATTGTTATTGATGTAAATGCAAGACATTCCAACCATGAATTAAAATATCCAAATGCCCAACACCCACTCGAGGGCATCCGGTATGGGTGCATATTGATATGTCCTGAAGTTTCAAAATAATCCTTGATTAATTCCAACCAATGATACAATGAATTTGTGCATGTGCATGTGTTTGTTGTACGTACAGTGTGATGTTGATGAAATTCCGTGATTGTAACTGCTATGAACAAGTCCAAATAAGTCCATGTGCATAACCCAGGAGTCTGATAAAGATGGGAGAAACTAAGGGAGAAGTAGAACAGCACACGCTGCCTGTGCTTTCACCATGATTTAGAAAGCAGTTTTATTTTTTACTGTGAATTGGTCCATTTGGCATTGGTCACATCCTCTTGTTGAAGGCCGTTGGCCAATCTACCATTTATAGGGATCATGATTCATGGCTGTTGAGCCTTGTGGCAACATGGTTGTTGAGGGGGCACACTGCATAGAGGAGGCAAGGGGTGTGGGGTTGGCCAGGTTGTTGGGTAAGATACTGCAAATGAAAGGGAAATCTGTGGGTCTCTTTCTCTCTCTCTCTCTCAAAAGCTTAAGTTGGTTTGATCTAATGGAGGTCATAGGTTCGTCTCATATGAGTTGTTCATGTCACAACTATTCCCAGCTCTCCTTCACCCCTCTGGATTTTGTGATATTTATTGAATCTTTGAAAAAATAAAAATAGACTCCATCTAAATTCACAACTAATTCACTTTACCTTTTTAACAGGAAATTGAATCTATTCCTTACCCTTGGCTTGGAATATGGGGCATCTTCTAAAACCAGTCCATGTGGGTCCCTTATAGTATAATATCTATCTATCTATTGGCATGGCCCCATAGCTTTTAAATTATATTGTATCATAATTCAAGTTAGAAAGCTAGTTAACTCATGTCTTTGGAAGAGTGTAAATATAAATATGTACGGTGTAAATACAAGATTTACAAATAGAATATACAAGGTTTTGCATTGCACATATTTATATTTGAACTCTTTCCAAACTAAACCATAAGCACTGTTTTGGAAGAGTACAAATGCTGGTTCAGTGCATATATCACTATGGTTCAATTTTTCTAGTATTTGGTAAGAATGCATTTATATACCGAAAGTGACAGTTTTTACAAATTTAAATGCATGTTTACATCCAAAATGGGAGCAAAATTGATCAATGTTAAAATGGTATATATTTCAATATGGAGTTTTGTGTTTGCAACTAAAAATTTTTGCGTAAGAAAGTAAATTTATCAATGTAAAACTAAACCAAATTTGCATTTGCTTGGACGGGAAATCACTCTATATATTTGTATTGGTAGTTTGGTACTCTCCTCGAACAGAGCTATAAATAATAGATCAAGTTTAAA